CATCTTCGTGTTGTTCGGCCCCTACCCCTCCTTCCTTGTACCATGCCTTCTGCTATTTGTTTTTTTCCAATCCGTCGTGATACGACCAAAATATTTCAGACAGGATGCTGTTTATTAGCCAATCTTCCTTGATGTTCAGATCTTCCAAGATGTCAGAAACATCCAGATAAACTTAAATACCAATATAATATTAAACGCCCTTCTGTACAATGACATCTCCGAGGTCTCCGCATGTCGTCGGCTCTGTGGCTAAGTCGATGCGAACGCTTCGTAATGCCGGGATGCCGGGTTCGATCCCAGCTGCGGACCAAGCGCCTTGCGTTGGTTTCGACAGTGGTATCAAGAAAGCCGAACGTCCAGAAGCAATAGCCAACTCCTGGACATAAATTTGCCTAGAAAAACCACACAACAGCCAGGGGATGTTGCGGTTGGTTCTGCAACGTCCTGCAAAGGATATGCAAGTAACCTAACCTCCGCATGTACCCAAAGTCACACAAACTGAGAACCAATGATCTAGTTCAGAGTTTCTCCAATTTTACTTGGTCGCGGCGCCTTTCTTCAATTGTTTCCACGGCGCGCTAACCTAGGTAAAAGTATGACTATTCGTGTACTGGTTAAATTAATAATGAAGCGTTTACAATATTTCGCGGCGCACAGGTGAAAATGTCGTGGCTCCCCGGGGCGCCGCGGCGCACAGTTTGGGAAACACTGGTCTAGTTGATCACAGGCTGATGTGTCAGCCGGTATATAATGGTTTTATTACCGCTCTCTGTTCCGTCTATAATGAATGTCTGCCTATGACTTGTCCAAACACTATGTCATCGATTTTATTTGGTCATGGAAGGGGAGAGGGAGGGACAAGTAATAACACGAGGGATCAGATAAACTACATGGGATGTATGTCTACAATGTGTTGTGATTTGTTTGAGGTTTGAACAACCGATCAACATCATGGTACAAGGGTAGTAATCCATAAGTGCTCAGTTCTACTTCTAACTCTGGTCTGAGTCCGAAGTAGCTCAGTGCAGTGCACGGGCTCCGTAGCACCGGCGAGGATTCTGAAATATTTTGGGTAGATTATTTAATCCAAATTTTGCCCGGGAAACGCCGTTAGGCTACTCTTTTCGGTTTCCAACTGCCAAGGGATTTTTGTAGTGCGTACAATACACACGGGGGTCTGATCCCATTACCCAGAGACCAGGGGAAATTAGTAGAAGTCAACTTAAAAAATCCCAGACTTCGCCAGAGCCAGAACCCGGAACCTCTAGCACTAGAGGCGAACACCATGCATTGAGAACACGCAACCCCTTATGTTGTGATTGGTAAGGGAAGACAGGAGGAGAGAGTGGCTGGGAATCGTGTCAGTATCTTGCTTTCATTCTTCAACAACTGTTTGAAACACATCCTAGTAACTTAAACATCCCCATGTGCGTTCCAATGCCACGCCTGAGGGAAATGAGGGTGGGCGGATCGAGGGTTTTATAGACCCACTGTCACTTAACAAGCATGTGGCCCAAGATAACTATATTTGCTAACATCGGATGTGCTTGGGCTAAAGACGCAGACTAGCTGTAAATGACAACACAACGTGCCAAACACAGAAAGAAGAAGAAGAAGAAAAAGAAGAAGAAGAAGAAGAAGAAGAAGAAGAAGAAGAAGAAGAAGAAGAAGAAGAAGAAGAAGAAGAAGAAGAAGAAGAAGAAGAAGAAGAAGAAGAAGAAAAGAAAAAAGAAGAAGAAGAAGAAGAAGAAGAAGAGAAGAAGAAGAAGAAGAAGAAGAAGAAGAAGAAGAAGAAGAAGAAGAAGAAGAAGAAGAAGAAGAAGAAGAAGAAGAAGAAGAAGAAGAAGAAGAAGAAAAAGAAGAAGAAGAAGAAGAAGAAGAAGAAGAAGAAGAAGAAGAAGAAGAAGAAGAAGAAGAAGAAGGAAAAGAAGAAGAAGAAGAAAAAGAAGAAGAAGAAGAAAAAGAAGAAGAAGAAGAAGAAGAAGAAGAAGAAGAAGAAGAAGAAGAAAGGGGGAGGAATATGAGAAGGCAGAAGAAGAGGGAGGAGGCAGAGGAGGAGAGAAGCAGAAGAACTAAAGGGGGGGGGGGGCGAGGAACAGGACTTTCTGCTTTGCCAAGTATGGCACATAATGGTCTTTACATAACATCACCACATAGGTCAGAATATCAAGCCTCGCAGTGATGTATTCTTGTGACCTTAGACTTGTCTGTCTGACACCTTAGTTCCGGTGATCACATCCTACTTTCATCAAGCGTACGTTCGCCTACCATTGACATATAGTTGCCGAGTTGAACGGCAAGTTCAAATGTCAACTAAAATGTCTGATTCGACGTGACACTGGTTAACTTGAGGAATGGTTTCATTCAATAAAGCTAGACTGCTTCGGGTCCACACATCGCAATCAATTTGCAAAGTGTCAAGTTATTTCTCTATCTCCTTCTCTTTCTTCTAAGCGCCTCCCTCCCCCCCCCCATCTGTCTCTAAATAAACAGCTACACAAGAAGTGGCTGACATACAAATACGGGGGAGGCTTTTCAATATGACTATTTGACTTAACTTATTCAAGTATGTAATAATAATAACAGTAATAAACTAATAACAATATCTCCATGTGTGCTCAAGGGCAACTATAATAATACATAAGAAGGTATCAACAAATTATCAACAAATACTTTAAAACGAGAATCTCTAATATATATGGTTATTTAAATAATGATATTTATTACGGGAAAACATTGTTTTGAATAAATGGTGATGTCAGCCGTTTAGTCTCCTTGTTCATTATCTACGGCGTCACCGTTTGGGGTTCCCATTGTGGAGAGAACAAGAACAGACCCACTACCTGCCCAAAAGCATGTCGTAAGAGTCGACTAATTGGGAGCTTCCTTCGAAGTCGGAGTACATCTGCCTAAGAGGCAATGAACGGACTGTGTGCGTGCAAACGAGTCACACCTGTCAAATGGATGTGCACGCAACAGTAGACTAGAGTCCAGAAGTGGACGAACAACCAGAACTTTCCGCCGGAGTTTACAGCTGGTGAACGCAAAGAAGAAGATTATCTATGGCAGTGGTCTCGAACATAGGCAGCAAGGAAGCAATTTATCCATCTCTTTCTTGGTCTTCCTCTCACCTTCCTACCAGATGTTCTGCTGTAAAAACTCTCAAACGCAGTTTGGCCGGGCTGCATTCTCTCTACATGGCCGAACCATTTCATTATTTGTCTGTCAATATAATTCAGACAAGGTCTTAAAGGTTTTATTAAAACAACAGTGCATGTATGAAGATAACATAGGAATTTCTTGAAGCTCTACTGATTGTAGAGACATCAAGTTGCAGCTCAGCCTAGGGATAAATCTAGCAGGAAAATGATTGTATAATATTTATCTAACATTATATACAAGTGTGGAAGCGTGGGCACTGGGTGTATACGTTAGTGGTTATGTCTAGCCCAGAATGCCAGCACAAATGTTACGTTGATGCCGTTCTAGTGTTTGGAAAAACCGCATACCCGGCGGCATTTCGTATTTGCCACCTGAATGTTTGCCGTCTGCGTTCAGTGTAAAGCAGGCGGGAGAACCTGTTTGCATTGCCTGTTTGCACTGCTGGGTGCTGATTTAGAGTGACAGTTGTACTGCTCTCTAATGATATAATTAGACAACCCTGTGTATACTTCGATTCTCTCTCCTTCTCACATTTCTCTCTGGCTCATAGCTCTCACTTTTGTCTCTCTCATTTAAGCATCTCGCTCTCACGCTATCCACTCCCACTTCCCTCCCCTCATATCTCCCAAACTCATTTCTACCACACACTCTTCTCTATTTCTCACCAACTCACACTCCTTCCTTTCCCCTCACACTACATTATCTCTCTAATTCTCTCACTAACTCACACCTCTCTCTCACGTCTCGCGCGCGCTCTCTCTCTCTCTCTCTATCTATCTATCTATCTATCTCTCTCTCTCTCTCTCTGCCACATATCATTCTCTCTCATTTCCTCTCTCTTTCTCGTTCTCTTGTTCGTGCCCGTGTGTGTGTGTGTGTGTGTGTGTGTGTGTGTATGCGTGCCTTTGTGTATGCTGTCTCTTCTCTCTTTCACCGCGACGACTGGTTAGTTCTTAAGTTTACTGGGGACTGGGATATACATTTCCAAGATCCGCTGGCACCCATGGATGTAAATCACACACTATTCAGTTTAATGCATGTCTAAGTAATGACTGGCCCTCGCAGAAGTAGAGGATATATTGTTAAGTTTAACGTATGTCTAAGTAACAACTGACACTCACAGAAGTAGAGGATATATTGTTCAGTTTAACGTATGAGAAACGATTAGCACTAACAGAAGTAGAGGATATATTGTTCAGTTTAACGTATGAGAAACGATTAGCACTAACAGAAGTAGAGGATATATTGTTCAGTTTAACGTAAAGGTAAAGGTAAAGTCGGGAGACGTGAACCAGCGTCACTGCACACGGTTATAAAAGAAGTAGAAGATATATTGTTCAGTTTAAAGTACATCTAAAAAACGATTGGTACTCATAGATGTAGAGCAGATACTGTTTAGTTTAACGCATGTCTAAGTACATAAAAACTGTTGTCATCTGAAGGTGGTGGGTTCGAATCAATTTGCTACCAAAATGGCTATAAATCAAGTTGTCTAGTGATGGGATGAAAAGAGTCAGACACTAAACTAGAAAATAACTGTTTTAGACCATAATGATAACTGCAGTCGAAATGTAAATGACTAGTTCCCTATAATAAATTACTGTCTTAAACGCACTGTTCAACTGTTTTATGACCTTTCCATTAGGGGCGCAATCACACATTGAAGTCGATTTACGAAACTCACCTTACGGTAGGATCTTTCTTACTGACATAACACACACACACACACACACACACACACACACACACACACACACACACACACACACACACACACACACACACACACACACACACACACACACACACACAACCGTGTATCTATTTACGAGACTAACCTGCGACATATTGACTTGTCCAACAGCCAGAGTCTTGAAGCCCATCAGGGTTCGGTTCTTGTACTTCTTCCTTCGCTGCAACATCACATGCAGCCAGTTGGCATCCCGCTTCAGGAAGTGTGGGTACTGTGAAAGAGAAAGCAGTGTCACAGCCAATGTCATCGCTGAACTAATTAATGATCTCCTGTCACACTGTGGGCATCTGTGTCAATGTCTTCACATGACCTGTAATCTCTTAGCACAATGTGGGCATCTGTGTCAATGTCTTCACATGACCTGTAATCTCTTAGCACAATGTGGGTATCTGTGTCAATGTCTTCACGTGACCTGATATCTCTTAGCACAATGTGGGCATCTGTGTCAATGTTTTCACGGGACCTGATATCTCTGAGCACAATGTGGGTATCTGTGTCAATGTCTTCACGGGACCTGATATCTCTGAGCACAATGTGGGTATCTGTGTCAATGTCTTCACGGGACCTGATATCTCTGAGCACAATGTGGGCATCTGTGTCAATGTCTTCACGGGACCTGATATCTCTGAGCACAACGTGGGTATCTGTGTCAATGTCTTCACGGTACCTGATATCTCTTAGCACAATGTGGGCATCTGTGTCAATGTTTTCACGGGACAAGTTATCTCTTAGCACAATGTGGGTATCTGTGTCAATGTCTTCACGGGACCAGTTATCTCTTAGCACAATGTGGGCATCTGTGTCAATGTCTTCACGGGACCAGTTATCTCTTAGCACAATGTGGGCATCTGTGTCAATGTCTTCACGGGACCTGTTATCTCTTAGCACAATGTGGGTGTCTGTGTCAATGTCTTCACGGGACAAGTTATCTCTTAGCACAACGTGGGTATCGTTCGTGTCGTCTTCTTAACTTTCGTGTTTACCGCCTGTGAACTCTAACGGAAAGTTTTGGTTGTTCGCCCACTTCTGGATTTTAGTCGTGTTTTTCTTCTTCTTTATTTTAGCGCTCACTCTGGTTGAAAGCCCCGGTGGATGTTCGTCCATTCTATACTTTGATCTTGTTACAGATTTCGAGTTAGGCGTTGAACATCTGTTTTACAGATCGTATCCGTCTGCTGACGTCTGTGTCATGCCTCTCTAACAGGTGCACTTCAACGAAGAAGGAATCACTACTAATTAGTTGAATTTTACGTCACGCTTGGTGGACTAGGGAAAAAAAGGGGGGGGGGAGGGTTCCAATCGTGTTCTCCCTCACCCCCCCCCCTTACACACACACAATGGAGCTCCGGAACCTACACACGGAATCCGTTTATTTGATTTATTCAAGCAACTTTCTGATTCATTCCAGGTTTTCCTTAAAGGGCTGCGTGGTAAAAGTCTGACATTCTGATATGATAAAATCTCAGTCTGTACAGCAACATGAGAGGGCAGATCTCAGATACCCCGTTCAATCCCCAAAACAATTATAACCGGGGAACGTGTAACGGGTACACCAGACTGTGTAGAATACGACAATTCCTGTGTGGGTGAGGATATGTTTTATAATCAAGCTCCTTCTAAGTACATTATATCAGTCCCGCCCACAGATCTCCCGATCTCACTAGCAACTATTTTATCATATACACAACAGACTATTGGAAGTAAGCAATGATGGTGAGCACGCCATCAACTACACAAAGAGAGAAAGAAAGAAAGAAAGAAAGAAAGAAAGAAAGAAAGAAAGAAAGAAAGAAAGAAAGAAAGAAAGAAAGAAAGAAAGAAAGAAGAAAGAAAGAAAGAAAGAAAAAAGAAAGAAAGAAAGAAAGAAAGAAAGAAAGAAAGAAAGAAAGAAAGAAAGAAAGAAAGAAAGAAGAAAGAAAGAGAAAGAAAGAAAAGAAAGAAAGAAAGAAAGAAAGAAAGAAAGAGAAGAAAGAGACAGACAGACAGACAGACAGACAGACAGACAGACAGACAGACAGACAGACAGACAGACAGACAGACAGACAGACAGACAGACAGACAGACAGACAGACAGACAGACAGACAGACAGACAGAAGACAGACAGACAGACAGACAGACAGACAGACAGACAGACAGACAGACAGACAGACAGAACAGACAGACAGACAGACAGACAGACAGACAGACAGAAAGAAAACAAAAGAAAAAAAGAAAGAAGAAAGAAAGAAAAGAAGAAAAAAAGAAGAAAGAAAAGAAAGAAAGAAAGAAAGAAAGAAAGAAAGAAAGAAAGAAAGAAAGAAAGAAAGAAAGAAAGAAAGAAAGAAAGAAAGAAAGAAAGAAAGAAAGAAAGAAAGGATGCCAACAGCAGTTCTACCGACACATCTGAACAATCTGTGCCTGCAGTTTTCAACTGTCCGGCCAAAAGTGTAATTTGGCATCCTATGTTTTCCCATGCCATCTATCCACTTGATGAACGCCACAATATGTCGATTCATGACCGGTGGCGGTAATGACGTGACCAGTTCTCTTCCACAACTGTTCATATGAAGAACGTAGTGAATACACAACCTGTTCAATTGCCTGCATGGCATTTTGTGTCCAATGAAATGCAGCATCAGAATCAATAGATGACAAACTTTCACCGATCTGGTTACTGGGGGACACTGCTTGACGCCTGGGCTGTGCCTCATCATCATCATCATCATCCCTTTCATCACCATCATCCTCATCATCATTATCATCATCATCAGCACTTTCATCACCATCATCCTCATTATAATCTTTTCGTATCGTACGTACAATTGAAGGCATGCAATTATCACCAATGCTTTTTGTGCTATTTACCCGATTTTCATTATTTATTATATGAACATAAAGAAAAAGTGAAGGAACCTTTTCTACAACTTCAGACGTATTTTGGGTATATAGGGCTACACCTATATTTTATAGACTAAACGGCACTTGGTAGGTGATGTGGTTAGCATCACGCCGGCCGCCTTTACTTTCCAGGACTGAACCTGGTACCTACTCAAGGCTTGGTCGACCTGGGTGCCAATGTTATTTTTAAAGAAAAAAAAAGTCTCTCCCCCCTCATCAGGACCCGAAACCACGACTTTCCGATCCACAGGCGAGCGTCTAGCAGCTGGACCACGGCGCCCCCCATTATATGAACATGACATGCTTTATTTATTTAAAAAAAAACAATTGCGGTCTGAAAGATGAGAGTTCAGAGGTGCCGAAAGTAAGATGGGCCTGCGTGCCTTATTTGTGACCCTTTGGGCGAAAAGTTTCGTTTGTTCTCTTTCTCTGTATCCCTCCACACCCCCCCCCCCCCCCCCCCCCCCCCCCCCCCCCCCCACCTTTTTTTTTTCAACCCCCTAATTTCACCTTGCCGTAACCCACGCAATACTGCCAACTGTAAAATGTCATAGCTAAAAATACCAATCACTGAGACGGCAGCCAGTAGATGTGGTTCTTCCTGTGGCGCCCTCGGCGTCCTATCGATCGTTGCTCGGCACGTCTTGGTCTTGGAGATAATGTTTCCCTGTAGGCACTTCCGGCGCTTCAATCAACCACTACTTTCCGATTGTATTACTCGTCTCATTAGCAGCCTACTTCCTCTTTCTGTCTTTCTGTCTTTCTGTCTGTCTGTCTTTCTTTCTTTCTTTCTTTCTTTCTTTCTTTCTTTCTTTCTTTCTTTCTTTCTTTCTTTCTTTCTTTCTTTCTTTCTTTCTTTCTTTCTTTCTTTCTTTCTTTCTTTCTTTCTTTCTTTCTTTCTTTCTTTCTTTCTTTCTTTCTTTCTTTCTTTCTTTCTTTCTTTCTTTCTTTCTTTCTTTCTTTCCGTTTGTTCTTCTTCCAGTTCCTATTCGTTTTCTTCTGTATTCTCTCTTCTTTGTGTTTTTGTTTTTCTTCTTCTTCTTCTTCTTCTTCTTCTTCTTCTTCTTCTTCTTCTTCTTCTTCTTCTCTGTCCTCCTCTTCACTTTCACTTTCCCTTCTTTCCTTCATCTTTCTTTCTTTGCTCCTCCTACTCTGTCTTCGTCCTCAGCAAAACAAACAAACCTAGAACAATCAGCTGCTGCCCAAAACACTGCATGCCGTCTCCACAATAAAGGTAGGCTACGCTGTATCACTGCTGAGCTTGAGAATATTCCCTCGCCAGACAAATCGGCAGAACATGGCAAATAACTTGCACACGTACTGATTAAAAAAAAAAAACTATACACGTTCAGAGAACACCAATCAATACAAACAAACTAGTTCCCCTCCTGTTACTGAAATGATATCCCGAGTCACCCCCCCCCCCCCTTTCCTCAGGGACCGATGTGTCTCTCTGATTTCATAACAGGGACACGTAACAGGGAGCCGCCGTGGCCTAACGGCTAGACGCTCAGTTGCGGATCAAAAGGTCTTGGGTTCGGATCCTGACGGGGGCGACTTTTTTTTTTTTCAAAAATGAATTTGGTTCCCAGGTGAACCCGGCCTTGAGTGAGTACCAGGTAAAGTCCTGGAAAGTAAAGGCGACCGGTGTGATGCTGATCATATCACTAAGTGCCGTTTGATCTATACAATACAGATCTAGCCCTATATACCGAATACGCCTTAAGGTGTTGAAAAGGTTACTTTACATGTTTTTTTTTTTAAATTAAACGTTATTGCGTCACAACGGTCCGGAATCTAGGTCGCCTTGATGCCCTCTTCTTCCTCCCTTCCCCTAGAAAATTTGCACGGGGGCTAAGTGGTCCCTTACCCATGGATATAAGTTCGCCTTTTAAATATTCGTTTACACATTTCATATTTTATAAAATATATATATTTGTTGCCATTCGGCACATACTGTTATTAGGACTATTATTACTGCGCACGTAAAAAAGGCTTAAAACCCCCCTCCCCCAGTCTCCCTTTCGCCCACAAAAAATTATACGGGGTAAGGGATTTAAGCCCCCTACTTCCCGAGGATGAAACTGAACCCCACTAGGATTTCTCAGAGACTAACACCCACCCTGTGACGCACAGTGCAATGCGTCAGTACTGGCATGAGAATACCCCAGGTACAAACCAAAGAAACCCATTTCACTTCTAAGGTGACATTAGGGCCCTTGACGATTACAAAGTAACCTGACAAGGTCCGGCTAATAACAAGCAACGCCCCCTCCCCCTCTCTCTCTCCCTTTGTTTTTTAATAAACCCCAACGTGTTATTTGTGACCACGT